TGAAGCACTTTGCATTGTCTTTGTACTGAATTGTGCTATACAAATACATTTTCCTTAGAATGAAGCAGAATGATGAAAAAGGGGTCCCTATGTCCTCCAGCAGTCTAAGCCTATAGCAGCAGAACTATAGAGATAGATCAGGATAACCTGAGCCACTCTAACTAGAATCTTTATCAAAAAGGAAAGTTTTAAGCCTAGCCTTAAAAGTAGACAGGGTGTCTGCCTCACGGACTAAAACTGGTAGATTAACTACAACATATTCCTTGTTTTAAAAGCCTTTTAATCCCAGTTCAGATCAGTGTCTGGTTCTATCAGCTGAGATGTTCTAGGTCCAGTTTTTGATCCTGGACCTCAGGGTCCTGCCCCTCCTCCATCTGCTCGGAATCCCATCCAGTCAATCATTCCTGGGATGTTTGCCTGGAATAAACACGGCGGGACGTTTCTGCTGCTTGTTTAGTGTGATTTCAGGGACCAGAGTCCAGCGCAGGAACAGAACCATTCTGACCCATTTCAAGCGTTTTTTCCAGGTGTGGACAGAAAGACGTTCTTCATGTTTTCCTCATCAGATGTTAGCGGAACATGACTGAGTCACAGCGTGGACCATCATCTGCCGGGTCGGGCTGAGCTCCAGGGTCTCTGCTGTGGAACGTGAGCGGCTCCGTCATCGTAATGGCGGTGAACATCATGTCTGGGTGTCTGCTCGCCGTCTGCCTCCTGGGAAGGTTCCTCCAGGCGTTCAGTCAAGGTGAAGGTAGGAGCTCCACCTCTGACCGAGGCTGGTTCACAGACCAACTACTGTGACTCAGCGCCTGTTGGACCATCTGAGGATTTATGGATCAAACTGGAGGTTCTCTAACCTTCTGGTTCTCTGCAGTGTTCCGCAGGCCTCCAGTGGCCAGCACCGTGTTCCTGCGCCCCAAACGGGCCAACGCCTTCCTCCTGGAGGAGATCCTGCAGGGGAACCTGGAGAGGGAGTGCTATGAGGAGCGCTGCAACTACGAGGAGGCGCGGGAGGTCTTTGAGGACGAAGCTAAGACGGTAGGTCCAGGGATGGAGGAAGGTCAGAGATTTTTCAGGAGAAACGGGGAATCTAAGCCCAGTTTGTTTGTCTGCAGATCTCCTTCTGGACCCAGTACCACGGTAAGTTCTGATCCAGGCCCGCTTCACTCCTCATTACAGTCCATCTTTGATGTTCTCTGTCTGTTCTGGGTAAGGAGACGGGAACCAGTGTCTCCCCAACCCCTGCCTCCATGGAGGGAACTGCACTAACAGGGTGGGGGGGTTCTTCTGCTCCTGCAGACCCCCCCACTACGGACACACCTGTGAGCTGGAACCACCAGAAGAAGACCAGGAGAAGACCAAGCCTCAGTACAAAGCTCCAGGTGAAGCCCGGTTCTGAAGAGTTCTGAGGTGTATGGATGGAGGAACCTCCATCGTCCCTCCGATGGAGGTTCCTCCATCGTCACTCTCGTCCCTCCGATGGAGGAACCTTTATCGTCTCTCATGTCTCCGATGGAGGAACCTCCATCGTCTCTGATGGAGGAACCTTCATCGTCTCTGATGGAGGAACCTCCATCGTCTCTGATGGAGGAACCTTCATCGTCTCTGATGGAGGAACCTTCATCGTCTCTGATGGAGGAACCTCCATCGTCTCTGATGGAGGAACCTTCATCGTCTCTGATGGAGGAACCTCCATCGTCTCTGATGGAGGAACCT